AAATAAAAAGTTAAGACTAAATGTTCATACAATGTCACTGACCTTAATATTTCAGCTCATTTTTAAGACTGCTGAAACAATCGAGGCTGCTAAAGCAATTGCTTATGAGAGACGAGAAATGTCATGAAATCTAGTGTTTAATGTCTAAATGAAATTCCTTAATTCCTTAACATTAGGGATAATATTAGTACATAATTCAGTAAAAAATATATAAATATACTATTTTTTTGTGTTTTTGAACATATTGATGAAACAGAAACATTACCTATTGTACATTTAAAGAAAACAAAAAATAAATAACTAAAAAAAAACAGAGGAAAATAAAGCTTTTTTAAAAACTATTGATAGCTGAATCCATGCAGACTTTGAAGGACACTGAAAGTAACCCTAGAGAAAAATTGGCATCAGCAACCATCTATTTATAAGACTTTGTTCTTAGCATTTCATTTTATAAATATCAGTCTAAGATCCTTGACCCGTGACTTTGCTCTCCACTTTTTCGCATTCCCATTTACCACAAGAGGTTTATTAAATAAAGGCACTAAATTCTTTGCGTAGCTCTGGTGACATCAATCAATTCAGCGGCATACCTCAGTGACTCAAGAATCTGTGCTTGTATATATGTGTGTGTGTATGATCTTGACAAACACACACACGGCAAAATTTGTCTGGTTTGAGGTCACAACAGAGCCCAACATAGCCCTCCGCTCTTGACGTGTTTGTGAAAATCACATATGTAAACACAGCAGGAGGTTCTACAGACATACTCTACACACAGATCTAGCTTTGCAATTGACTGCTGAGACAGAAAAAATATTTGAGATTGATAAACTCAAGTAATAATTCAACCGACTTTGAAGCAAGCTAATAGTGTTACAGTTAGGGATGGCAGATTAATTGAAAAGTAATCAAAATTGACATTCAGATCCTATAATCAATCAAATTTTTTCCAGACGATTTTTACAATTAATTTTCCTACATGCCACCTAACTACGCTCTGTTAAAGGTTGTGGCTCATTTCTTCTTCTGTGGCTACTTTACAGCCATATCTGATCTCTGGTTAAGTTGGACGATAGACCCATTCTTGAGCCTTACTTTGCACTACATTGACAATGATTGGAAGCAGCCCCAGAGATAATGGCCCGTTTCCATTAAGTGGTACGGTACTGTATGACTAAGTTTGGTACATTTTTATGGGTGTTTCCACTGTCAAAAGGTACCAAAGAGCAAACTGTACCATACTACCTTTTGGTTACCCTTTGCAAAGGTTATCTAGCACAACAAAAGGGTGCCAAAAGGCAGAGCTAGGCGCGCAACTGAATGCTATTGGTTTACAGAGATGCGTCACTCTCTCGTGCACAAGACAGGAGAATGAAAACAAAGAAAGTGCCATTTTTAAATACACAGCCAAGACATTACATCGTAATAATATATACATATAATAACAAGGCATGGTCAACCCGAGATCAAACAAATCTTGTCATCGTCTTGCTGAATAGCCACAAAGCCAAGAGAGGAACAGAATCTACCCTGTGCCCCAAAGTTGTTAACAAGGCAGTCTAAAACTCATTGCGCATCTATATTTGAAATAACGAACTTTTTGAGCTGATGATGATATCGTGCGTTTGATTATTTAAGCGCTTCTGACCTACGATACTTTTAGAAATGGACAAATGTTAGAGTGATGTGTGAAAAAACAAACCAGAAGCCCACAAAAATTAAGGAGCAAATGATTCTTTCAGCAACCTAAAACATGAACAAACACTGGCATGTTTAACTATTATCATCACCTTTTGGACTACTTTGAACTCGAAAATGACAGAATTACTTTACAAGAGGTTACATGTGCTGATGAAGATTAAAGATACAGATAGGGGGCTGTATGTTGCATGTTGTTTTTGAACCCAAATAAGGACTAAATGTATGCTGTGTTTAGTTTTTCTGTAATTGGTAACATATCAGAGCCTGTGAGGGTCTGTATGTGTTATTTTATATAATTGCAGACGTTACACTAGGTTATTTCGCACATCATTGATCTGCAGTTATAATCAAATTATGTTCATAGAAAGATTAGTAATAAACATTTATACAGAAGTATTTATGTGTGTAAAGAATCTATTTTGTGAGAAGTGCTTCTCATGTGATATGTGAACGACCCATACAGCTTTACTGTAGACATTTTCTCAAGCTAGAATGACGTCGACACACAGTGGAAATGGGCCATAAAAATTGTCAGTGAACAATGAGGGCAACAAAAATGTAATAAATAAATAAAATAATCTTTCATTAATTGTAATCGAGTTAAAATGTTCATTTAATCATTTACATTTGGATTTTAGGACAAATGGCCCAACCCTAGTTGCAATGAAGTTTCATTGTGTCAGTAAGAGTATAATTCATAGTACATTTCCCAGAACTGAGGTTATTGTGGGTAGCTTTCACTCCACTCAGACAAACAAAAATACATACATGGGAAGACAGGATGCAAATGACTGAAGCCTGACATTCCTACAAGGCGAACATACTGGAGTCAAACATGTTGAAGCAAACAAAATGGGAGGTAAAAATGAAAGATGGAAAACATTTAATTTGCACATTCCTTTCCCCCTTGTGGGGTTTGCAAAAGCATAGGATAAAATGGGTAAATAACACAAAGATGTAGAAAATATAGTTCAGAGCACCAAATCTAGCCCAGATGTGTCTCAATCTTCATTTTCTTTTGGTGTTAATTCTCATAAAACATGACTAAAGGAGTGCCCAGGGCCTCCAGCAACGGTGACCTCTCATTCTCAAAATACCCATTTAGAGCAGAACAACAAATGACTCTTTATTACAACTCTCCAGTCTCAAGTGTAAAGATTGATTCCGTGCTTGAAACATGATATCTATCCCACATGTAGTGACCTCAAACCTGAACACCTCCTACCCATCCCTCTTCTAATCTTTCCATTCCCATGAGAGCTGCTGTTACCTTAGGCATATTTGCTTTGCTACCAGCCCTGGCTATGATTCTTAACAATGGGACACTGGAAAAGACAATGGCATAGCCGCCAGAGCAGATAGATCAAATTGGGGGTCAGAGAGTGGGGGAGAAGGTCAGAGACTCCTAATGACCCTAATCTCTAGTGGAGTTTCAATTGACAGTATTCAGTTACCGCAATGTCATGTTATAGTATATTAGTGTTTTAACTATAGGGCTGGGCGATTTGGCCTAAAATCAAAATCTCAATTAACTGAACATTTTAACTCGATTACGATTAATGAACAATCATTTAGTTCACTGACAGCTTCCAATCATCGTCAATGTGGTACAAAGTAAGGCTCAAAAATGAGTCCATCGTCCTACTTGACCAGAGATCAGAGGTGGCTGCAAAGTGGTCACAGAAGTAGAAGCCAGCCACAGCCTTTAACAGACTGGGGTCATGGGACACATAGGGAAAGTAATTGAAAAATCATCTTTAAAAAAATTCTGAATGCTGATTTCGATTACTTTTCGATTAAACGCCCAAGACTACTACATTAGATTATGCAGCTATACAACTCATCAGAATGGTTTTTATTGATTTATTTAACTTTGCTGACATGTATGGAGATGAATGAATGTCTAAACATTTAATGTGCAACTGACAGCTCTCTTAACCAGGCCAAATCTCTCTTGGATTGTTGAACCAATACTTCACCCAGCAAAGAAATTGACATTGAGAATTGTTGACTATGGCAGTGTCGAACTCAATCAACTCTTTTTTTCCTGATTTGCCTCTCAAGACACCATTTAACTACCTTTTATACTCAAATCAAGTTGGAAACAACTTCAAGCAAGCTTCTATCCATTGGACCTGTAGCACAGCCCAATCTCCATAAGACTGGGCAGGCACAATAGCAAACAGATGGTCTTGTTGGGGGGACAACCCTATGCCAGCACATCCTGTCATGCTAAATTTACCACCCAGGAAAGCAAGATTTCCCAAAAGCAATTTAGAGGAGATATTGCTAATTTACTTTCTTAGGCAGATATGCCTGGCTACCTGACATAATTAACAGTACTATTACCTATTAACATGTTTCCACCCACCATGATGACTAACTTTAAAAATATTTATGTTTTCATTAGGGTGTCTTAAATTTGATTGCATGCATGCAACAAACATGTTTATGCATTAACAATAATGTAATGTGTTCAGTGTAAAAGCTCATTAATCAATAAAAAAGCAGCATTTTTGTGAGCTTTGGGTATACTTTATGCATTCATTTGTTTTAGTGGGTGGCCAATGGTCACACAGTGTCAAAGACTGTTGAAATTCCAGGCTGCTTATTTTAAGCTTTTGGCACAGGTGCTTTGAGTGGTCAGGGCAGCTGAGAGAGGTATTAATACATTCTTTGTATAAAGATAATGAGGCCAGATGTTGACTTTTGCCACAGAAAGTGTTTGCTTTAAAATGCACCATTCTCTGACTCTCACTAGCTCATATTAATACACATTAAGTACCCTGTGGCCTACATAACATAATAATCTACAAAAGAGAAATAGCTTGATTTGCTTATTTAAAAAAAAAACATAAACAGAGAAAAAAAGAATCACATAGAAAAATATGTGTGCACGGAAGTAGGGGGAGGGTGAGCAATCCTCTTAATACCACGGCAACTAGTGTGGAATGTCTACAGCAGGTCCGAGAGACAGCTGCTCCATCTGTTCCTGCCATCAATTCTCTCTCCTCCGGCGGAAAAATGAAAAGAATCAGGATGCTCTTCATCAGCTCTCTCAAAGACATCCAACTGCTACCACCAACCTGTGCAAGCATCCTACTGATGCCCTACAAAATACTACCAATCACTTTTGGACACTCTAATATGGCAAGTCCTTCAACATTTTCACCATTCATATCACCGGCCACCTTCATGCATAGGATATTTGTTTCTTGAATAATTCATGACCAGACAAAACATCCCCCGCTACCCCACCCCAGTCATGAATGGATTAAAGGGAAGAGAAGAGAACTTACCAGTGTCTTCGTCAATAGTAAAGATCCCTAGGCCTGATCCATCCCGAATGGAATAACGGATCTCTCCATCTCTTCCTTTATCCTCATCCTGTGCTGTGATTTTCATCACAGACGTTCCGATGGGCACATCCTCTTTGATAAATCCCTTATCCACAAATGATGGGAACAATGGCCTGTATAGATTCTCGTTCACGTCCACAACCTCCACCTCAATGTGGCAACTCGAGGACAGAGATATTGGTTTCCCTTTGTCTTTTGCCTTTGCTGTGAGACTGTACACCTGCTTTTTCTCGTAATCCAGATTCTGTACGATCCGTACCGCACCACTCAATTTGTCTACTTCAAATTTACCATCTCCACTGTCAATGAGGCTATAACGTACCTGGCTAGATGGCCCAACATCAGGGTCATGAGCCTCCAGCCACATTATAACAGTACCGATAGGTAGATCCTCACGTACTCTCACATGATAGTTGGGCGGAATAAATTTTGGAGGGTTGTCGTTTACATCCTCTAGTGTGATTTTTAGCAACACTGTTGAAACAAGTTGAGGCTCAGCAGTGGCCTGGTCGCGAGCTGCAATTTTGAGCACAAAAACGGGTTGCACTTCACGATCTAGAGGTTTCTTCACTGTAACAATCCCAGTTTCTGTATCAATAGCAAATTGATCTGTGTCTGCCAATATTGAGTATCTGACCACACCATTGTCCCCAAGATCTTTATCTTTTGCCTCAACTTGAATGACCTCTGTTCCAACAGTGGAGCTCTCACTGATTTCCACAGAGTACGTTTCCTTTAAAAACTGTGGACTGTTGTCATTAGCATCCAGTATCTTCACATCAAGAAGACGTGAAGATGACTTTTGGGGTATTCCAAGGTCATACACGGTAATGTTCAATGTATAGTGATCAGTTGTTTCTCGATCAAGAGGAGCAAACACTTTGAGCCATCCGCTGTCCATGTCAATAATAAAACGACTCTCAGCATCACCTCCAGAGATAACGTAAACCAGTTTTCCATTAAAACCACTGTCAGAATCTGATGCACTAAGATGGACAATCCTAGCCCCAACAGGTAGATCTTCTTTGACCTCAATCACACTGGGAAAAGTATCTGCAAACTGTGGTGCAACGCGATTCACAGAGTGGAAGTCTTGAAAGTGGTCTTCAGGTTCACTTTGCGTATGGACCTTGCTTCCTTGCAGGAGTTTTTCTGCCAGCATGCTGGCAACTCCTGTATCAACACATTTTACTTGTACTGGTTTGTGTGCCGTAACGACAGTAATGTTCAAAAACATGGGCTGAGTTTCATGTTCTCCATCACTGGCTATGATCTGCAAGCTGTGATAAGACACTTTTGCTGCCTCGCCCTCACTCAAAGTCTGCTTCAAAGATAGCACACCTGAGCTTGGATTCATTTCAAAAACATTCAAGTCATTGCCCGCTTTAATTCTGTACCTCACCAACTGCAACTCATCAGCATCAATTGCAGACACTGTTGTGATCTGGTCACCCACACCATGGTCTCTTGGCACAGTTGCATCACAATCCACGTTCTCAAAAAGTGGCTTGTTGTCATTCAAGTTGTTAAGCATGATGGTAACTTGAGTTTCCACCTCACGGCGATAAGGGGAACCCCAGTCTGATGCCCGAACTTTCAAGGTATAAATCCTTGGCATCAATTCATAATCCAGAGTCTCAGAACTACTAATGACACCAGAGAAGTAGTCAATGACAAATGGCTGGGAATTCACATTTGCAATGCTGTAAGTGACATATCCATTCTCCCCACTGTCTAAATCAGTGGCTTTTACGGTTAGTACACTTGTACCTGTTGGCATATTTTCATCAAGGCTAGCTTTATATGATGTCTGCTTGAATTCTGGACCATTGTTGTTCACATCAATCACATCAATGATAACTTTTGTGACTGCCTTTTTGTCACTGGTCACAACTTCTAATTCATACTTGTTCACAGAGTCTGCGTGAAGGGGCGCAGCTGTTGTGATCAAGCCTGAATCTGGATTAATGGCAAAATGATTTTTATCCAATCTGTGTCTAAATGCGTATTTAAGTTGGGGATACTTTGGCACAGCTGTTACCATTACAACAGGTGTGTGCAGTGGTGCGAACTCACTCACATTGACTCTGTAAATAGCTTGAATGAATTTAGGGGGCCCTACTTTAAAGTGGGGAGACATGACATGGATGACCTTTGCGGATGAAAACTGGGGTGGATTTCCTTTGTCTTTGGCTTGCAGTGTTAGGTTATATCCAAAGGGTTGACTATCCCAGTCAACCTGCTTAACTGCTTTGATTTGATATTCCTTACTTCCTGGACTTGTCCGCATGGCTTTAAACTGTTGAAGAGGGTCGCCCGCAACCACACTGAGAGATGCTATCTCACCATTAGCACCTTGGTCATTGTCTTCGACAGTTACAACAGCATAAGTAGGGTCCTTGTCTGTTTCTGAGGCTGCTAAGGTTACAGCAGTGATGACTGGTGCATGCTCATTGGCCTGGTCCACTCGTACCGTTAACTTTGCCATGCTGCTAAATCCACTGCTACCATACAGCTTCATGCCTCGGTCTACAGCTAAAATCTCCAATTCGTACTGCTTTGTCTCAGAGTAGTCCAGCTTTCCGGTAAGAGTAACTACGCCACTTGTGGGATGGACAGAAAACATGTCTGTCCATTCTCTGAAGCTGTAGTAGTACTCTCCATTTGTACCAATATCGGCATCTGTCGCCATCACCTTAGCTACGCTTGTGCGAATAGCTGTGTTTTCAGGTAAAGATATGCTATAAGCAGTTGGGGAGAACAGTGGTCGAAGGTCATTTGTATCCAGTACCTGAATTCTGACTCGTGTTCGAGCCTCAGCATTTGAATTCTTTTCCATGGCTTTGACTGTGAGAATATAGTGGTCTCTGACCTCCCGGTTAAGAATTGCACTGCTACCTCCTTTGGTCCTTATTCTCAAAAAACTAAAGTCTCCCAAATGATAGTCCTCAGCTTTGAACAGGTTCTCGTTGTCTCCTGACACAATTTTGTACCGTATTTCCCAGGTCGGATCTGTGATGTAGATTCCCATTTTGACAGGACTTTCCACATAGGTCTTAGCAGCAGAGTTCTCATAAATGGTAGCATTGTAAACAGACTGGGTAAACAGAGGGATGGGCGCATTGTCTTGGCTTTGGTTCGCAGTGCAGCCGCACAGGAGCAGCAGAACCACCAGCAATGAAGTCATGTGGTTCTGCATGTTTGCAGCGCACTCCTCTCTGAAACTGTGAAGGAAAAAAAAAGAAAAACTTTATTATAAAACTCCAGATTAAAACAGATTTAGTTTTTGAATAAGTTCACATGATTTGTGCCTTTAATCTAAAAAATGTTAGATTTAAATACCTTTACAAAAATTGGCTGCATCAAATACAGTTTTGACAACACATAAGAAACAGACCATTTTTAATATTTATGGCACATCGTTACTCAAAAACAAATATGATTAGTGCTTCAGCATCATCCACTGGCCCTGACTATTTGTCTCTGTTTCCAACTTCACCATAGACACCATGACAGATGATAAGCCAGATGATGAATTGTTGTGAGAATGGAAGTGCCTTTTGTGTATATAAAGTCTCATTCCACTGCTTCCTGAATAAATTATATATTATTCTCACTGCCTCCTGCCATATATCTTCTTCAGCTATGTGCAACACAAAGTGCATAAAGAGAGATGTGTTCAATGATATGTTCATAAGAACGAAAACAATCAGGTATGTGTATGAAAATTGAAAACTTTTTTTAAAGATATAGCTCACCCAAAAATTAAAAATCACCCTACACTTGTTCGAAACCTGTTTGAGTATCTTTCTTTTGTTAAACACAAAGGGAGATATTTTAAAGAAGGCTGAAAACTTGCAACCACCAAATGTTACATGAGTTTTAGCTTTCTTTAAAATATATTTTGTGTGGAATAAACAGTTTATTGTGCAGAATAAATAAACACATAACAGTTTGGAAACTCTTCAGGGTGAGTAAATAGTGAGTAAATAATTTTGGGGGATAAGCTAGCCCTTTAATACAAAATGCGTTCTTTCATCAATTCTATGATCTACCCGAACTCAGTGATCGATTGACAAACAGAAGAGCTTGTTATTTTTTCAAATTATAGGCTATGCATTAGTGGTAAGGAAAAAAACATCTTTATTAAAGTAGTCAGAAATACTCTACACTGCAAAACCCAAAATGTTAAGGTAATTTAAACCATTTGAGTAAACTGATAGCTACAAACCATTTAAGTTCAAAAACTAACCCAAATGACTACTGTGAACTTAATGCATTTGAGTAAAAGAAGCAATTTGAGGACAGTAAAACTCCATAAATGAAGAGAACTCTAACCAACTGAGCACTGTAAAACCCAATAAATTAAGCCAACTCAAACCATTTGAGTAAACCGATTGCTACAAACAGTTTGAGTTTAAAAAAAAAACGAATCTATATAAGTACTGTCAACTTGCTCTATTTACGTTAAAGTAATGAAGTATTTAATTACCTTCAACACTGAGTTCAAAACTCTTTTCAAATGAGTAGAACTACTTTCAGTCAATTTTTAATTAACTACACATCTGATAAAGTTGACTGTTGGGTTTAACAGTGTAACATTGTGTAGTCTTGTTTCTAATATGCTGCACAATAGGAAAGTGCCGTTTGAATGACTAATCATATTAAACAAATAAAGAAATCTTTCAGCGCAAATGTCTTCATTGTCTTATCATTTTTCTTTTCTTTTCTGTATTAAATTATTTGCGGATAGACGCACATTTTAGAGCATTGTATGAGTGTTGAAACGTATTAATGTGACTAACGTTATTAGGTTCTCTGTAAGACCTTTTATACAGCAGATGACTTCACGCTTCAAAATTTCCACACGACTTTTCGTGCCCTCGAGCATGTAAAAACACAATCACTGACGTTTAGTACAGAAATGAAATAGCTGTCCGAACTTTTTCAGAGACACTATAACGTTAAAGCCTCTTTGCTGTAAACACATTAAAACATAAGACTTGTATGCTGTCAAGGGGACCTCTCTTTAACGTTAGGCAATTTAGCTTTTGCAAAGGAAACAAAATACCAAAGTAACAAAAGAAGGGTTTCAGCTCCGTTGTTAAAAGTGTATCCCCATCCCCCCAGTCCGTCAATTCCTATTCATTTTACGTCGCCACACTGATACCCCATGCGCTGGCCAGATGTACGAACTGTTCCCATTTAAAACAATTAGCTGACCAGTTTGCACCGCTTCTCTTAAACAATTCAACTCAAACTATCTACTTAGAATATGTCAACGCTCTGCCATGCTACGATCAACTTCAAACTTGCCCTATTTCCACTATACGGGCAGCAGTGAAGGACCAACGGCAACTTTACACCGCGAGCTGACTGAAAGTTTTACGCATTTCTGAAAATAGCACAACTCCAGAACACTTCAACAAAGTCCTCGCGCAATGTGAAGACTTCTAAAATAGTACGTACCGATTCCAGTATTAACGTCCTTTGTTAGGTGGCTTTTCATGAAGTTTGTAAGTTCCCAATCTCTGCATGGTACCGACACTCTCAGCCGCGCTCTCTGCTCACTGAACTCTCCGTTCCACTCAAACGCACAAACACATACAAAGCACCGTTTGTATCTCTCCGCACAGCGCACGGATCTACTTCCTATTGGCATGAAGATGAAACAGCCGTCGCTCTCCCCTCACAGTGGGACGAGAGAAGCCTTTGATGTTTTATTTTATGTGCCAAACCTGTGCCTCTAATGAAGAAATATGCTGCATCATTGGGTTTTTTTAAAACAAAGGAGAGAGATGATCTCCACGGCTGTGAGTTATATGATAAAAACCCTACTCGTCACATTACCTATTAGGTACTATGTAATTGCAACTCAGTCCCAAGTTGACAGTAAAAAAAATAACATTTATTTCTGCTAAATTATATTTTCGGATTGTTGCGCACGTGTCCGCTTTTACAAACGAATGGAGCACTTGATTATAAAGTGGTGCTTTTATTCCATACACATTTTTACAAAAATAAAGATTCGTCAAATGGGGTTTTAAAAAGTGATGTCATGGGAAAAATAACAATTTGCTTCCTAAAATATTCTTTCAGTTCTTTGAAGAATCATGAAATATAACATGTCAGATCTTCATTAAAACGGCCTGCTCTACCAAATGGTTGACCATATTTTTACTGTTTTAAATAATGATTGTTAAAGTCAATTAAATAATGTTTACTGTTTTAAATATTAGTTTACACATCATTGTTGATTTACAAAAACATTTGGTTTTATTGTAAAAAAAAACAAGAAAAATGAGAATCTGAAATATTTTAAGGCATACTTCAAAAAAAATAAAGATGATTTATTATTCAAAAATGTTTCATTTTTGTTGTTTTTTTAATAAATTGGTCTTACACATCATTTTTTAAAAAAAATAAAGATTTTAACAGTATTTGTATTAAATCTGGTATTTTACCATAAATCGACATATCAACCATTTGGTAGAGGTTGATATTTTAGAAATTATGGGATGCGTTGAAATAAATGCATTGAGTGTGTTAACTAGTGACATTAAAAGTTAAGAAATACAGTACTTTTTTTCTTGGTGGGGCATTTAAAGAGTTAAAGAGGTAGTTCAGAAAAAATAATTGTCATTCGTTACTCATCCCCTACTTATTTCAAATCAAGCTATTTGTGTTTCTTCTGTTGAACTGAAAAGAAGATATTTTGAAAAATGTTGAAAACCATTTGACTTCCATGATATTTTTCAACAGTTTCCAACTTTCTTCGAAATATCCACGACATAGAAAAAAAACTCATAAATGTTTTGTAACCACTTAAGAGTGAGCAAATGATTAGTAAAGTTTTATTTGTGTGAACTATCCCTTTAAGTGTTTTAGAAAATTAAGCAATGTTTGCTCAATTAAGAGATTTATTGTTATTACTCTTTGCTTTTTTGGTGAGGTGAATCTTATCAGAATTCCCCTTATAGATTAAAATAGTTAGGCTAGAACTCCCTACTGAGATTCCAAAGGTTACATTTTAAATTTCCACAATCAAATCAACGTTCTAAACCAAATGGATACCAGTAAAAGTTGTATTGTCTGACGGAAAAGCTTTTTAAAGCGTGGCCCCAGCACGGCACATGCACTCTGTTGCTCGCGAATGATGGCGCTGTCTCACTGCTGTGCCAGAGCGCGAGCGATCCACGAGGCTGCGCGCTCTACACCTCAATCTGTGCAACTCACTTTATAATGCTCTTACATCGAGTTGCGTGTGCCCACTGCCACTGCATGACCATTTATTAAAATGCGTAATGCCCGAAGGTTAGCAATTACTATAGGTTATGCATCGCATGGTAAAGTACTAGTAAATCAGTAACAGCTTTTGTGCCAGTAGAGACTAATATCTAAGCTACTTATTTAAATGTATGTATTTTGCTCTAAAAACAAAATAGTTGCATTTGGAAAAAAAGTTGTAATGCTATAATGAAAGAGGCTCACCAGATCCAGCGGGCGAGAGCCGCCGCTCCAAAGTTGCGTCTAAATGATCTCCAGGACGTATTGGCAAAAAGAGTATGTGAGCATATCTTCGCATGGAGAATCAGTCAAATGTCGTAATAAATCCGGCTCGTGGTGTAGTAGCCCCTACATTTCCTTACACATCCGAAACCCTCGTGAGCAGGATTCCACGCGGCCACGCGCGCAGTGACCATCCACAACACTCACTCAGAGCTCGTGCGCTCAGGCAGTGGAGGAGGCGCGCGGATCCTCCGGGATGCCTGGCTGGCTTTCCGCCGCTGTGACGTCACCACTCTCCCGTTGGAGTCGATCATTTGATTCAGTGATCTCACCTTTACCGTACGCGTTGACGTTTTGCTCCGACATTGAAGGCTGTTTATTGAATTATCAGCGTAATGGAACTTTGCAACTGTAGACTTAAGCTGTCAGCGCTGATCCATTAGGATCAATGAAACAGAGCATCCTGCCTCTCGGATAGACTCTTCAGATTAATAATCAAATCTGAGAGTGTGAAACATCTTGATTGTATAAAGTGAGTGCGCAGTGACCTTTTATTTGAAGCTTTATTATAGCTGCACTGTGGCATGTTGCTTAAATAACTGCACCTGATGTTCATTAGATTTAGACTCAGTCATAAAACTTTGGCCCCAGGGGCTCTGTGAATGTGAGGCATCAGGTCTCTTGTGTGCATGTTTGTGTGCCCCTAACTCCCCCTCTTCTGACCATTTATCCTGATGCAGGATTGTTCAGTCAACCCCTCCACCACCGCACCTCCTTGCATAGTTACACAGACACACTGCTTCAGTCTTATCCCCCATAAAGGTTTAATTGGATTCCGGTCAGGTGACGTGAGGGAGATGGCCAGTGCTTTTGATCTTGCAAGTGTTGAGACATTCCGTTGCTGGTCTGGAGTTTGTGGAGTGCCAGCCCGAAGAACGAACAGCCGGCATGGAGGAGGAGCATACAAGTGTGTGTGTGTGTGCAGGAATGAGAGCTTCACAACCTCTGGATGTGTTGGCACTAGTGGAGAGTGACTTTTTTTTTTACCTCAGCATCTCAGAATAGTGGCTATGAAGAGAGAGGCTTAAAAACAGATGTGTCTTCAAGAAACAACCCACTTTTGAAAATAGAACCATTTTACAACCAGTTTTACCATTTTTTAATCTATTCAGCAAATCTCTGGCTCCAGTGGAAGCATTTTTTAGCTTAGCTTAGCTTAGCATAGATTATTGAATCTGATTAGACCATTAGCATCTCACTGAAGATTCAGAAAATAATTTTGATAATTTTCCTATTTAAACCTTGACTTGGCATCACAATTACATTATGTCCAAAGGATGAAAAGTTGCTAATTTCTATGTCTATATGGCTAGGAAAAAGTGGTGAAAAGAGTACTGAATTATCATCCTCAAGTAAAAGTACCATTACTTGCCTAAAAATGTAGTGCAAGTAGAGTAAAAGTATCTGTTGTAAATATTACTCAGAATATGAGTAAAAAGTAGACATTTAAAAAGTACTCTGAAGTAGTGAGTAGTGAGTAATACCAGCCTGATCTCATGAGAAAAGTAAGTATTTTACGTTTTGCCAGTTTAGTGGCTAATTTGTATGAGTTCAGTCGTACGAAATTGTACGATTTTAAAAAGGAGGCGTGACACCTAACCCCAGCCCTAAACCCAACCGTCATTTGGTGATGAGAAAATCTTACTAAATTGTACGAATTAGATTGTACAAAATCATACAAATTAGCTACTAAATCAAAAAGTTACGAATTGCCGTGAGATTGTGTTGGTATTATGCTGTAAATAGCTGTTGCGTTTATATGTACTTTTGCGCATGTGTGTGTAAACTTAACATTCTGTAGTGCATTTAGTTATTGCTCAGCAGGCACACAACATCATAAGACGTTAATATAAGGTTAGATTTAGGTTGTGATGTCAGGTGACCAAAATTCAATGTCTAGCCAGCATCTCAAACCAACGTCACATTGATGTCCAATAATGTCGTCAAATGACGTTGATATTTAGTCGATTTAAGGTTTTTAGAAAGTGACTAAAATCCAACGTCGAGCCAACTTCTTAAACCAATGTCATACTCACGTCAAATACGGACATTTATTCATCAGGTATGGCAACCAAAATTCAACATCTGATAGACGTCATAGTGGTAACGTCCACACAACTTCAAGCTGTGACATCATTAGACGCTGATATTTGGTTGGTTTTAGGTTGGACATTGACGTTGGTCTGACATAGAGTTCAGATGTCAACCCGATTTTCATTTCCAAACAAATGGCAACGTCCCCATGACGTTAGGGTACAACGTCAATCTGACATCATGTTGATGTCTTTTGCCTGCTAGTTGTTTAAGGCTATTTCGGTCATCTCACAGTAAACATGCATCATCTTCTCATATAAGTGACATACATCTAAACAGTCTCTGGGTTGATGCGTGTAAAGATTTTGGAAATCATCTTGGACTCTTTTAATGCTTCCAAACAGTTTGCTGCAATTATAAAGCACACATGTCTTGAGGTAGTTCATGATGATGCAATTTTCTTTCTATGTGCGATTTGATTGGACAGGAATCACAGGACTGATTTTTCTAATCCCCATAGACAAGAAAAAAAATAAAGTAGTGACTGCAGGTTGAAGGAAAGTAGTAGAGTAAAAGTACAGATACTGCACTAAAATGTACTCAAGTGAGAGTAAAAGTACACATTTTCAAAGCTACTTAGTAAATTACAATTCCTGAGAAAAAGTACTCAATTACATTTAAGTCTTTGTAATTAGTTAGTTTACACCACTGCTAGGAACTATACTCTCTTTCTGGTTTAATAATCAAGGAACCTAGCAGCCATATCGTGACTGCCTCAGTTACCTTGCGGACCATATTCAGGTGCTGTGTAATAGGGTATATGCCGAGCTAGTGCTGTTCCCATGCTGATACACTTCCGGTGACCTGTTATTGTGAACTTTTTTTCCGTTTTATACGGTTCCTTATACAGCATCAATGTTGTAATTTAATTAAAATACACTCAGTTAAATAAACTTTAGCATTTATTTGGTTGCTGTTTACTTGCACGCGCCCGTCAGAATCGGCAGGCTAACACAGAAGCTCCATTGAATATAGTGGGGTAAAATAAATGCTCATATTATAAAGATATGGCAGGAAAAAATGTAATTTAATGCAGTGCTTCTTGTGCAATCTGAGACCCACTTTAAATCGGATATCACTCAGCTAGTGGAGGTCGCTGATTTTTAAAGAAAACAGACCTTAAACGCACCGGATTTTGCGTTGGCATTTAATTCGCCGGAAGCGCTTAACCCAGGTTACTGGCAAATTAAGAGTCCTATTAGCATGCTTCGGCATATACCCCATTTCACTGCTTCTGCAGCAGTCGCTGGGTGTGACTTTGTCAAGGATGCGATCCTGGATTAACATGTATGCTGTGTAGGGATTTGATACAGTTTAAACCCAAAGAATGACCAGTCTGTCAGATGAAGAAGAGCCGGAGTCAGAGATTCCAATAAATAAATGAAGTTTACTGAAGACAGTTTGCAGTTTCATCAGCAGAAGCCAGCTTCAACACTCGCAATGAGCTCCTAGGCCGCTCTGCTTACAATCACAAATCAATAACAATTATACTCTCACATAACGTCATTAACTGCGACATATAGGTGTTCTAACCTAGTTGGTTAAAACACAGATAGAATAGGAACATTTCCACGTGAGTGTGTGCGTACAGCTCTGAGAAATATCTTAAGCATGTAAACATCAGATATCCACTAGACTGTTTAGAGCTGACTCCAGACCTGTAAAACTGATCCACAATCAAATAGAACACACACACTTAAAGTACAACCTGTTTCTTACCCAAGGCTGAATGTACTCTCAGCCGTCTTTATCAAAACTGGTTAAAAAAAAACAGTATAATCTACATTCAGGCAGTTATATCCTTACTACACAAAGTCGATCTTGAATAAAAAGTTGAATCACTTTAAAATAATTCACTGTAAAAATAGCAAAATCCTTTTAGACATTTTAGGTAGTATTAACTCATAGAAATAACAATAGAAAAAGTTGCTTTCATTGTTCAGCGACATCAATTCCACGCAAGGTCTCCATGACCTCTGACCTAGTTTGGTGGCTCCTGAAAAAAGTTACAAAGAGACCGGCAAATGCACTGAACATTCTTATATTAAGCAATGTGTTAACTTTATTCATTATTCAATAATGATCTTTAATAAAAATAATGAGAAACAGGATGATGAGAAAAGGATAAACGTTGATCCATGCTGAGATCCTGGAATGTCCTTTTGTTAGAAAATGAAATACATATCTAATCCTACACCTAAACCCTACCATAGAGGTAAGTTATTCCTATAGGGGAATGATAGTTGGATGACAATCATGTAGTAAAAAAAATCTAAATGTAAGCCTAAACTTAACATAAACAATTCTGATTGGCAAATTCTGAAAAATGTTGACTCACTAAAATCACACTAACCTGCAATAGTTATGGTATGGCAGCAAAGTTACTTGATTATTACACCAGAATGATGGTATGCATATACTGTTTGTATCAATACACAATATCTACAGAATAGTCAAGATTTAAATAGCAAAAGTATCAAAATTCTTTTTTTTTTTTTAACTTTTTTTTTTTACATTTTCGAGCAAGATGCTAATGGTCTAATCCAATTCAATGATTTATGCTAAGCTAAGCTAAAATTTCTCCCTCTACACCTGTTGATCAGTTAAATGCATTAAAAAATGGTAAAACTCAACAGTTTAACTTTAGGGAAGATGTAAAACCAGCTTGTTTGTGCTTCTTTAAAAATGTAATTAAAAAATGAATTAAAGAGATACTTCTTTATAAAATAAAGGTTTTATTATCTAGCCCACATGTTCCAACCATGTTTGCAGGAAAAAAAAACACATTTTGAGAACTGTTGGTAAGTACTTTGTTCCATATATTTGAAGTCAATGATTTAGTTGTCAACATTCTTCAAAGTATCTTCTTTTATGTTTTGCAGAACAATGAAAGTCAGGTTAAGGGTGCAAGCAAATGTTGACAGAAAATTCATTTTGGAGTGCATAGTAAAATCCCTGATGTTGAATAAACAACACCACTTGGTGCTTGTATGGGAACCGAGCAGAAGATTGTGGTTTTGCAGAGTTATAGGAACTACAAACCGTTTCCTTTGGTGAGAAAGACCCCAATAAGCATTACACT